CGATACATGATTCAAAAAGCGACTGTGTTTGGTTGCAAAACCAATCTGCATCACACCCGGCGTTAGTATCAACGCTTCATAAAACCAAACACCTTCCGTAGCTTCGAATGTACAACGAACTGATTCAAACGACGAAACATCGCATCGAGCCTAAAAAAAACCCCTTGGAATTTTTGTGATTTTATCAACAAAAATGTCAATATCACTTAGCCCTAACTTTTCTTTTTACTGACCCGCTACGTTTTCTTCTCACTTTTTATAACAATAGCATTTCTCCTTGTTGAAAAATTCAAAAACCATCTGTAATCACTCTCTATGAAAGGCGAGAGGCAAATCGTTACCTAGAAGCTGGCTGACGGTAGTTCTTTGGCATGCATCAATGAAAAGTCTGGACGAATCGTAGAGGGACTGGCTGACCCGCTGACGGAATCGAATCCACGACTTTCAGTACGAAAATATCCACTACGCTACGCCAAACAGTACAGAAACTTATTATAACGATTTGATTTCTTAGCAATTCAGTTTTGCCTGAACTATACCGCAATGACTAATAATCACGTGAATCTATAATAAAACTTCCTGGCTATTTATGAACTTTGTGCTGAGCATCTTTAGCAATCACAGTACGAAAAATCTTTGCATATTTGCTCCAAGGGCTAAAGAACTCCAAAAAAGAAGCGAAAAAGAATCGTTAACAGATAAACTAACGGAGGTAACTTCCCCTCCAGGAGAACAAACAAAGAGGTATTAAACCGCGGAATGGCCATCCGGTAATGCAGCTTTAGTCACATAAACCACAGAAAGTTGTCGCCTATCAGACCGTGAACTGGAAGATCCCTCCCCTCTCCCCTTCCTCCCCTCCCCGACGTTCTTGTAGTGCTTTTTTACATCTACACGCAGTAAATATTAGTTTCTCTACAATTTATAACCGAAACTAACCTCTAAGCCATCAGGTGTAATTTTGAGATACTCACTGGCATCTTCGTGATTCAACATCGCATTGATCCGTCGCACATCAACCGTCTCATATGAAAGAGTACGGTTCGACAGCACAACTGTAAAAAATAAATTATTTCATCTGATGCTCAAAACAAACTTATAAAAATTGCTTTCTTATAAAAATACAAAAACGCAGATTATCGAGACGGCAAAAAGGTGCACGGGACGAAAACAGCAGTAAAGATGGGTCAAAATGGACGAGTGGCACGGGGGCGGGGAAGAGAGCAAAGAGAACCACGAACAATGGGAAATAAATGGCCAACGCACGGGATGCCCGTGCGAAGAAGCGTTTTGTGCAGAGTTTCCCGCAGGTTTTTGTCGCTACCGCCATCGGTTTTTTCGGCAGATGCTTCTAGCTGAAAGAATTTCAAACTGGCCGCAAGAACTGTCACGAAACATCCCCTCAAAATTCCAGTCTTTTAGCTTCTCACGTTCTCGAGTTTGAACTCGTTAATACCCACTTAGACAGGGAACACCAACCTAAAATTCCAGCTCTCTAGCTTCTCAGAACCTCGAGTTATTAATTTACGTGGGAAAAATTTTGGGAGGCCTGTACGCGGGTGCCACGCTTACCCGGGGGCTGGATTTGAGCTAATTAGCACCTGCTTGGACGCGGAACATTCCCATAAAAATTCAGCTCTCTTTCTTTTCTGGTTCGCGAGTTATTAGCTCACCCGTAAAAAACTTTGGCAGGGTCTTAGGGGGTTACCACGCGGGAAAGACCGCCCATTTTGGGGATAGGGGCCCGTACGTGCATGAAGATTAAGTCCCC